AGTGAGAAGGGGCCCAAGTACAGACGGCATAAGTGGATATTTTATGGCTAATGTATTTGTGCATTTATAAGACTGTTGGTTCACCACACTGAACTATGAAACCATTTAGCCTGTATGTGAAGGGCGGTGTGTATGTGTGTGTGTGTGTGTGTGTGTGTGTGTGTAACTTCAGAAGGTAGAAACTTGAGGCATGTGGTATTCTGTGAATTCCAGACTAGGGTGGGACTTATAAGATCCAGTTGGAAGAAGGAAGAAAGGGAGTGAAGGGAGGAGAGGGACGGAAGGAAGGGTAGGGAGGGAAAGAAGGCAGGCAGAGAGAGAAAGAAAAGGAGGAAGGATGAAAAAATTAACTCATTTTAGTTTAAATCAGTGCATTTTGCTTTAATTCAGTGCTTCAAATCTCATCCTCACACCCTCACACATCTAAGTTTTAAAGTCACAAATTTTAAAGTGCACACAATTTTATTCTCCTACACTGCGGTAACCCCAGCCTGCATGCTGCAGAAACAGTGCACCTCAATGTAGACTGACCAGATTCCCAGCTCCAGGGCCACGTGCGCTGCTGAAGTTTCTGTGTGGGATGAGGAGGATGCATCCCTCAGAGTGCACACACCTACCTCCTCACAGCTGACTGTTGTTTATTGATGATGATCAGACTTTATTTTTTTTTTTTTGGACACAACCTACCAACAGTTGGACAGATGGACGTGTAGTTTGAGTTCTCTTTCCTTCAGAATCTGACTCCCAGAGAGCACTGCTGGAGGATAAGGCAGATGACGCAGGCTGTGAGGATGCTGTCCATGGGCAGGGAGGGATCAAAAGCCTGGAGTCGGGTCACAGGCTGGATGCCCCTCACTGGAGCCTAGAGCAGCATCCTCTCCTCTCTAGGTCCAGGTCTTGCAGCAGAGGAACACATGACCCTGACTCCAGAGCCTCCTGGGTAGATGCTGGGGTGCTCACAGGAAGAAACATCCTTGTTTCTCTGGCTGCAATGAAAAGCAGGATGTCAGGAGCCTGCATTGCTTCCAGGAGGGGGATGTAAATCAGCCCTGAGGGTGGGTATCATGACTGTAAACATGGAGGTCTTAGTGTGACAGCACACACAGAGGTTGGAAAGGTGGCCATCAGGACACCTTTGTGACTATGTCCTCTGTGGGTACATATGGCCCCACAGGAAGGACCTACATAAACAGATCTGCCAAAGGGGAGACATGGCCTCTCCACCTCTCTAAAGCAGGACAGCACTACAAGTCACTGTTCCCACGGATGCCTCCCTCCAGGTCCCCTCTCACTTCCTTCCTGACCTCCTGAGGTTTCTTTCCCACATCCCTGCACCCATGTTCATCCCCACACTGAGGTCACACGAGACATCAGTTCCCTAGCATCAGGCAGACCCTGCCCCAGGAAGGGAGAGGTCCAAGTGCAGGTCTGCTTGTGGCTGACATAATATCTCCGAATATTTACAGCGCTAAAATAGCAGAAAAACAAGGCTCACAGTTGGCCTCTACATGAGTGTGGAGACCTTTAGCAAAAGACCACCACGTCTCAATGAGAATATTTTCCAAACAGATGGGCTGACAGGAGGCTGTGTGAAAGGGGACAGGATGATGACAAGGTCTCACTGGAACATTCCAGGAGCCCACGGGGGTATCATCAATGAGCCGAAAGCACGGGTATTTCAGCCAGGCTTTTGCTTCTTCTGCCAGCAGGCGCCAGCCCTCTAAGTTAAAACCAGCCACGTTCCATGTTGGGTCTGCTGGGTCCAAGATCACAGGCCTTCTGCAGAGCAACGTCAGGAAGGGAATTGGACAACTGGCCAGGGCCTCAGGTACCACTTAACGGGGGCAGGGAGGAGCCCAGCAGAGCATCCCTATCTAATGGTTAGCCAGACTCCCTGCCTCACAGCACACAGCAAGACTGGCGGTATCTTTGGGTATGACCTGCAAGGCCTGGGTTTGAATCCTTTACCCTTTAGTAGCTGTGTGTCCTGGGGCAGCTCCCTCAGGGTCTTTGATTTGTGAGATGAGGAGAGGTGGACCAGCCAATCTTATGGGAAAACTGAACACAAGGTCAGGACATGTGACTCCCTAGGGTGACATAGCATTCTATTATTTATAGGCAATTGGTCCTTCGCTGGTCTTTGGTTCCTCATAGCCCTTATGATGCTGTTACTATCGGATAATCTCAGTTCCCACTCCATGTCGTCCTCTTCCTTTGCTGTTTGGGTCTGGACAACGTCAGAGTCTTGGTGTCCTCATCACAGACAGGAGAGCCCTCCCCACATCCCCCAGCTCCCAGGGCATTAGGGCCTCATGTCAGTCAGGTAACAGTGCCCAGTGCAGGAGATGCTACATTCACACAGAGCACCCACCTCCCCCTTCTCACAGGATTGCAGCCTGACACACATTGGGGGCAGAGCCATGGTGGGACAAGTTACCTGTCTTTTTTGACCTGTGTGGACAGGTAGGCATTGACCTCTTCATTGATGCCATCATAATAAAACGTCCAGTAGATTCGAAGCTTTAAGAACTGAATGATCAGCTCTAACACAGTCCGGAAACCCTGGGCTGTCTGTCCTTCACATTTCCCTGGAGTCTCAGTTTCCCAGGCATAGACTGTGAGCAGCTCCAGGGCGTACTGTGGTGGCAGCAGCTTCCTCAGCTTCTCCTTACACTGAGAAGAGAAAGGCAAAGAGAACAACGGGGCTCTCAGCTGCTGTATGGGGGCTATGTCTCACAGGCTCAATTCAGCTGCCACCTGATGATGTCATTACAGGTTTATTGTCACACAGCCACGCCCAGTCATTTAGACTCAGTCTCTGGCCCCTCCTGTGCTATAGTCAAGAGCTGAGTGGATGAGACTGACCCTGTATGCGCCACAAAGACAGCATTCACTAGCAGGCACAGGAGGAATCAAGACACCATGAGTGACAGCTA